CTTCAGAAACACAACAGGCAAACTATGGACGAAACCTAAGTTGGGAAGGTGCTGGAAGATTCCCCCGTAGACACGACACTCAGAGAAGCCCAAGCTTTTGCAAAATCCAGGCCCGTTTGGCCCCTTTCATGGTTGCCCCATTCTTTTTGAGATATGCTTTGGTAACTGGGAGGCCTTTGCAATCAGGATGCCCGGCGTGTTCCAGCCACGACAATGGTGTCCCGTACATATCGTCGAGAGCATTGACTTGGGCTCCGTTTTCCACCAGAATTCTCGTTGCGTTGTAAGAGCCATACTCAGCAGCCCAGGAGAGAGGGGTACGTTTGTTTTGATCGCGATCGTCAATTGGCGCACCAATATCCAGAAGTCGTAAAAGAAGCTCAGTACAGTCCCCCATAGCGGCGTAATGAATCAGAGACCTCTTGAAAGGGCCCCTTGGGTTGCATATGCCCCGGGATTGGACCGACTTCTGAGTTGCTTCGAGGAAAGCCATGATGTTCTCGTCCAGCGCATTCATCTGGATATTTTTGAGGCGCTTGAATTCACCATCCATGGTTGTGGTGGATTGAGAGGACATGGTCTTTAGACACTTCGAAAAAGCCAAAGGTCAGGGTCGCGAGAGCCCGTGACCAAGCTGGGGGATCATAGGCTATATAGTAATGGTGGGAGAGGATGTCCCATGTCTCCCAAAGTATAAAATATGAATATGCTTTCTGCTATCCAAGTGCTTTTTGGCGGGTCATATTTCATTTTAGTGATGCAGGATGCTACTTGGAAGCACAGGAGTAAAGTTCAAGGGCATTCTGTTGTATCAGTATGTGTTTCATGGCCTCGACAAAGTGCGGCTGCCGGCCGCAACATACAGTATGCAGCGGACTGTTGGGTTGAAGAGACGAAAAGGCTAACAAAAAGCCAGAGGCAACTCACCCGCACCGTGTTGTAGTGCCTCAGAAACATGAATTGGATCGTTCAACACAGCGTGTTGTGGGAACCAAGGCTGGGCCAACTTCCGGAACAAGACCGCCGACCACACACGCGGCCTGATACGCCTCGTAATTGGATACATAGGTCCTCGGTTATGAATAGCATAGCTCTATCAGAATGGACAAAGACCAAGGTCGAAATCTATGGTTGTGCATTTCGCGCCCCGCGTTATCGTAGACGTGGCACATCACTTCGAAAATGACCTGCTACGCCACAAGTGTCCAAGTGCATATCCAGTCCTCACTTCTTCAGTCACGACGACACGCCATAAAGCTGTAACAGGCCATTTTCCTTCGGCCGGGTTGTGAGGTGTAATCTGGTGAGATGTTGAAAGGAAGTACCTCAGAACTCTGGAGCTCATCAGTTCTGAAAAGGTTGCCCGCATGTTCTAGCCCTAGATACGTCAAGGGTTATTGGGCAAGCATCAAGTTGTCTTAGCTGGCCTAAACCGATCTAACCGATTCCTGGCCGCATAGTGAGCCTCAATAACCGACCATACTTGCCAAAGTGTTAATCTCCCATGCACCTCAACTTTGGTCAGCCGACTGACATTTTTTATTCAATATGTGCCCCCTACAGGCGATCTGAAGGCTCTCAGAAATCTCGGTAATTCTATAAAAGCCTCTGTCATCCTTCCTCGTTTTGCTCGACTACACACGACGCCAAATCAATCGGTTAAGAAATACAGGACACGAGACGCAACACACAATATATTTTCGAATTTTAAGCTCCTGTAATTCGTCTAAGACAAGGAAAATGCGTTTCTCCATCGTTATGATCCTCGCTAGTGCCTATGCAAGCGGATCTCTCGGCGGCACCCTTGAGATCATTGATATTGATGGTCAATGCGCGATATGGTCCTATGACAACCATGGCTGCACGGGATCTTCAGCATTCTTTGGCCAGCTTGAGGGAGAAAAATGCTCAAGTAAGTGGATTTCTGGCATGAGGGTCAGCAAAAAAGTACTAACAATCTAGCAGCGGTGAACGAAGTCGGAGACCGCACCCATCGCTACCCTGTGCACGGGGTGGAGGCTTGTGGCACGGAAGACAATTCGTCAGCTGCATGGCTTCAGGTGACGGATACGGGGGTGGTCACCTTCTCCAATCACCAAGGAGAAACGTCGTCATGTACATTAGACAACGGACTCAAGCATGGCAGCCGATGTATTGCTTCTGATTCGGGATCTTCCACCAAGGTGTCCTCCGCTTTGACGACGCCGAGGTCTTCGTCATCAGTGTCGGAGTCATCCTTGACTACCTCCCAGACCGCACCTTCTTCTGATTGTTCCGCGGACTGAGGAAATATGAAGAACAAGTGCAACTCTCGGGATGTACCAAACATACCCTTCACTACTTTGCAGGTGCATGGAATTTTTGGCTTTCTATTATTTATGTTTTTCAATGTCTGGTTTCATTTCCTTTTTGAACATTATATGTATTGAGGGCAAATTAGACGGAGACGTGGACAGCAATGCATTGAGTTAGACTGGATGGGTGTTCTGATAGATTTATGCTGACTCATAGGTTGTGATTTGATTCTGCATTTTGTCCTTTAGGTTCAGTTGGGAGAGGAGTAATAGCTTGTGCTGTAGCTATACTTTGCTTTCCAATTTGGGCGCTTCTCTTGAAGACTTCCATCGATATGATAGTATTCGAGACCTTGTCCCAATCCGACGAAAAGCAAATAAGGGACTTCCCATTTTCGGAAATTTGGGCCATGGTGATTGAATATGCCCTTTGATGTTGCAGGTTAGTTTGTGCGTTATATTGTCGTCCCAGGGATTGAACATACATATAATATGACGCTTCTTGAGTTTTCCGACGGTCTTCGAGCTCGACGACAAACAGCTCGCCAATCACGGGAGCACGGGTAATGCAAATACTAATGACAGGCTCAAGAGGTATCTTGTTACCTTGAGAATCTGCCAGAATCAGTTCCGAATTCGCATGGTTTGCTTGGAGCGATTGCCTGCTTGTCCTAGCGCATTGTTTAGTCTTTCAATTTCCTTTCTTATCACTTGGACCGAGGAATCACATACAACAGATCGCCCTGTTGGGAGTAAGAAGCTATGTCGATGGAGAAACCGTGCTTGAGATTTGCAAGTTGGGGTTGGGTTGTATGCAACTCCCTGCAGTGGTATTCGACCTCTAGCACCCGCATGTAAAGTGGGTTTAAGAGTGCAGCCTTGCTACTAACATCGACGGGCGTGGCGTATGTTCTTGCTACGGTGTTTTTCCGGAAGCCAACATACCCCGGACGACCGCTACGGAACGTGCTATCGCTCGTGGATTGCTGATTCCGCAGTGCAAATATTTTTATCGGTAGGGACTCTCGCAGGGCGGTCTTTGGGCCGATTGGTCGGTTTTGGGGCCCTAACAAGGAGTCATCAGCAAGCTGGTAACGATCTCTCTGTTCTGGACCGTACTCAAGATCTCTTGGGATTTGTTAGATTCAGATTTCCCAATTGCGAATAAACCGTCGACTATTGTGAAACAATTTGTTGTATAAAGCTCCCCGCTAACTTTGTCGAGTATTCTCGCAAGGTCCTGGTGGTCGTAGTTTCTCATAACGCATGCTAGGACTTCGGATTTCTCTGGACATACATTAGTATTAGTGTTAAAAAGAGTGCACGACGTAAGACTGACCGGGTTCTTGCATACCTGGGGCACCTTTGAAACCCCATTCATCAGTAGTGGGCCACCACTCAGGTTCCTCTTCCAGTCTCGATTTCACAGAGGCCAAAGTCCCGTCATTAATAAAATCCCAATCAACGGCGGTTGGCCACCAATGTGGTTTGTTTCCCAATCTCAGCTTTGCAGTCGCCAGAAAGTGGTTGTAGAGCACTTCTCTATCGCTAGGGCAGAGTGCTTGGAACTCTCCATAATATTGATCGGCGTAAGTTGGAACAGAAAGGTCAACCTTTGCGTCCATTGTGTTATTCATGGATGGGTAAAGTTTGAACGTCCAAATAGTAGGAGGGCAAGGGATTGTTTTAAACACAAGAGCAACAGATCAATCGTAGGGAAAAGTCACTGCCCTGACCTAGCTGCCGAGCTAGCTTGGAGGGCATGAAAGCTGGACCATTCCTATTTGGAGAGCCGCTAGGGGCCTGAATCCCTGTTTGGGTTTCGCAGTCATAAGCAACCTATAATCAAATTGAAGGCTTCCGACTGCAATGCGGTGAATCCAATTTTTCTTGGTTTGGTTTATCGTACTTGGCTGCTAGTAATGGAGCCGTTTACCGGATTGAGAATTTTCCCCCTGCATCCTTCAACTCCTTCCTTACGAAGACTCCGGGTCCACGTATCATGGAGCCGATAATTCCATGAATTTTGATCTCAAATTCCTACTGTCAAGGCTGACTACGTTGTTTGAATCGCACCCACATGGCGCCTTGTTCACATTCCTCGTAATTGTATTGAAGACTAAAGCCTGGCGGGGCCCCTCACAAAAAGCGTGGCAGCTCCTAGGATGTGTTCGGCCGATTCCAACATAAATTACATTAACTGTGTCGTAAATGGAACAGGAGTCGCAGCTTCGGAACTAGATTGCAAGCAGGTCTCGCCAACCCATGGGTGTTGGAAGCCTTGGAAGGGCGGCGCCATCCTGGCCGATAGGCTGTAGCCCTCCTGAGCCAGGAAGTGAGTGTGTACGTCTAGCCCGAAACCTCGAAATTGTCTTAACCAATACACGTCCGGCAATTGTTTAGTAGCCCCACCGCCAAGGCCTTAGCGCGATTCACTCGCGTCACATCCAATGGAATAGCTCTTACGGGGCCAAAGAACAACATCAAGCGTGTATTGGTCAAGGCAACTACAAGATTGCGGGCTAGACGCCGTAATATAAGTAGCACGTACGCTCCTTTGTATATCCTAGCAAAATTTCCTGCATATCATCTATCAACTGAAAGAACTGATGTTCATATCGGCTTGGCGCATGCAAACATCCCCCAAAACTGCTACACCGCATACTCTCTGCAAGCCTGGCCACGATTGCCCCACCGCATCCAGACATGAAGCCAAAGGCATGGGTATACAGATTCCCAATACCCCAACGATATCGTAACGTCATCGGGTCTATCTTCGAGTTGGTTATGACGGAGGGCGAGTATTACGAGCTAGCCGAACCCTTGTTGAGTGGACTCACCGCCACGGAAATCTCTTTGATAGCGCACCTGCTGGGAGTCACAGAACAATTCCTCTACGCCAGCAGATATCTGAATCCGCTCAGGGAGCAGGACCCTTTCATGGTCTACTTTGAGCCACTGATCAAGAAGGGACTGCAAGTCTTAATTCTTGGTAGCGATATTCTGGATTTAATGAAGGGAATCCAGCGTCCGGCGACGTACTGGGGCAGTCGAATTGCGGAGGTAGAGACCAATGGCGGACTCATACATACGCCTGAAATCTGGATCGTGGCAATAACCCCCAACCAGCCCACGTACGAAGCGCCAACAGAGCTCGCGGCATCTGAAGAGCCATTTGACGCCTTAGTCCAGCCTGTGGAGAGCAAATACATGTACAGAGACCCCGATACGAGCATGCCGGTGATGTGGTTAAAGGGTACGGGCGTATACTTGAGACATCGACATCCTCAAATGGAGACTCAACGGTCGAAATACATGTGTACCGTGGAATCTTCCTCTTTTGCGATCGATTGGGATGATCTTTACCAAGACATACGGCCCGGCTCTACCCTACCCTACATCGACGCTTCAGGAGAACCCCACACGATCAAATTTTCAGAGCATGATACGGCGATGGAATTCAAGTCGGATACCCATAATGAAGATCGCTCGGTTGTTTTGTGGAAGAGAATGTACGGTCCGGAGGCGAACGCGGTATTCAATGGCAGGGTGCTAGACAGAAATGGGAGGAATATTTTGGGAGAGGTTGAGTTTGCTTTCAAGTTCCCTTTTCAGAGTAACATATAACTGGGGATGACATTGTAAGTTACAATCGAAAGTCAGGCATCGAATCCACTAAAGCCGAACTGCTTAAGTCAGTTCCTATGAATATGGTATTCAAGGTTGGAGGGTATCGTCATCATCAAAAAAGAGTGGTTATCATCCTCTCAAGGCAGAAGGTGGCACTGAGGAACCTAATTGTGGAAAGAGTAGGATGGGAAGCATGTATTTATGAATTTCTTCACCCACGACGTCACGTCCGGGTCAAATGTTCTTCCACGAGGTGCACTAATATGGTATATGCAGCGACCAATCCAACCCCAGAATACCTGACGCAATTTTTTAAAAAGGCAGCAGACCCTGGGAGCTCAGGGTGATTCCAGGAGCTGGGTTACTCCCAAGACATCGGACACATTTTCCGGGGCTGTCGAACAACGATTTGCTCTGTGTAAACATCGATCAAACTTGGTGTTCGTAAAGACTTCAAAACGGTGACTATGGAAATACCATAGCCCCAGCAAATCGTACGTAGCTTGTAAGACTATCCACCATCACTATCACGAAACCGGTCACGCTCCTATTGACGATTCGATCAGTGCTAGGAGCTCATCTCTTGACCCTGGGAGTTATCTTACTCCCAGGGGCTCCTGAAACATATCTGGGAGCAAAGAAGCAGCTTCTAGGAGCCACATATCCCCCAGGAAACGCGATGTAGCTTCTGGGGTCTGGTACACACACCACTGGGAATCAAAGCCGCGTTCCTGTTGACGACTTGTCGATTCCTGGGGCGATGATTTGGCCTCCTGGGGGGATCCAATGACGCAGAATTGTGCGCAGGTCCGGTGATGGTGTTTTGTGAGGGCTTTCGGCGATCTCGGAAGGCAATCTATTGACTTTAGGACCCTAAAGTAAGCTCCCAGGGTCTCCACAGCTCCCAGATCTGGTCAATGTATTCCCAGAGCCAGTTCCGTATTCAGTCAGGAACGAAAAGTGAAGATCCCAGGGCTAGATCTCATTTTCCTAGAAATAGAAACAGCCCCAGGATCTCAAGAGTATTTCCTAGGGGATAAACAGCCCCTATAAATGCTTTTGAGGTCCCCAGGGCCAACATATTGTTTCCCAGAGTTAGTTAACAGGCACGAGAGTTTGTCAGTCTCTTGCCTGTGGCTTTTCTGCCAACAATCCCCGCCTTCACGCGACACGGCTCTACTGAGATGAATCCTTTGTTTCTTTGGTCACCGCCGTTAGGTATCATGAAAACAGAACTTTTATCTACCACTATAGTTTCGAGCTCAGACATTTTCGGAATCACCGAAGCAGTCAATAGCTACTGGCTATGGTGTATTGGTGTCCAGCACTTACGAGATGAAACGGTCGTGTTGTCCTTCTGAGTTTAACCATCGGTATTTCATTTCTTGCTAATTTGATTCAAAATTGTATATCACGGCTATAACGGCTGTAACCTGTGATCACCTACGCTGAGTGGAATTGAGTCGTGCCGATCGGCGAAGCGGTGCAGCGGTGGAAGGTTGTCGCGGTAGATGAGTTCCTGCTAGTCTGGCTGAGCGACGGGCCCAACCAGTGGGAGATGGATCGCTTGCCGTGTGGACGGAATATGTCTCGGCATCCGACGAGGGGATTCGTAAGGGGCGAATGATGGCATCTAGGGCTCCTTCGTTTCGGCTGCGGTCATCAGTATCTTGGTCGTCTCAGAAATAAGGTCATCCACACTTACCACACACAACATGACGTGCCAAACCCTGTATCTCGCTTTTCCAACCATTCTTCGGCGCATGACAGATGACAGAGCGATGTGCACTGACCGCAGTGCAAGATCACGCTCTCGTCCGCATGGTCTTCATCCTCGGTCTGGCAGAACACACAGTAGATGCTGTCGACGTGGACGCTGTCGACCTCTTCACTCGAGGTGAGACTCTGGAGCGTCAATTCTTGGAAACCAGCCCGGATATTAGTTGCCAATGAGAGGATGGCTGGTCGGGTCGGCGAAACGCGCCATGGAACATTGTTCGTCCGCAGCGTTGCAGAAGTCACAAATGGATTGAATGGCTGCACTGGCTCGGGGTTGGTTGACAGGGGCACCGGTGGTGGTGATGACCGGGTGTTGTCTGATGCAGGGCGTCGCCTGGAGGCTGACGATGTCTGACGCTGGCCCCGATGTACAATGACTGACGGAGAAGCCATTCTGGAGCCATATGGTACTCGCGCCTGGTTGCGGACGGCGGCTTCATACCACTGCTGGCCAACTTGGTCGGCCTGCCGTTGCCGGTGCCATCTCGCGCAGAGGAAGTCTCTGGCGACGTCACAGAGCTTCGACTGCAACGATAACAAGTCAAACGGCTCTCTGGCGAGAGTGGTCAACTTTTGATGGCCGACCTTGGTGTCTTCAACTTTGATCGAGTTCTTGCATGGCTCGCCTTTTTTCGTCATCCCGCAACAGGAGCCAGGACCGCCATTGGGGCTGGCCTCTATCTCACAAACAAGAAACGGATTCCAAGGGAGCATGGTAGTTATTGAGGTGGTCGTCAAAGGCAGAAAATGCTTCGGATTGTGGTGGTGTTGGCAATCACCGCAGCGTTCCCTCGCCAGCTTTATATGCCATCGCGTGGGCTCCTTACCTACATGGCTGCGTGGCTGGCATGGGACACTTCCTTGAAACAGTCGGTACGTTGGAGAATGCATTCGCACGCAGTATGCGCCACTATACGGCCAATCAGTGGCCTGCAAGAAGGGATATCATTCCAGACCACTGCTGCAATCAGCTGCACGTTTGACTATCCATCGCGGGGACCATACATTGGCGAACAGATTGGCTACTGCGGTTGGCAGCGAAGTCGACAAATGCTGCGTTAGATTCTGGGTTGCCTATGAATTTCGAAGTGCGTGATAGGTTGTTATTTGTTCTTATGGCGCTAGGGGCAAGATGCGGGTACGTAGAGATAGATTCGGTTTCCCAGGCCATCGACACACTACCAGGAACAGTTTTGGCGTTCCCAGGAGCTAGACTCCAGAGATTCTCCAACTCCGCCTGAGCATTGTTGTTAACCCTTTGTGATTGCTACGCACCTCTCAACGGAGTGACAGACTACACTCCTAGCTGACCACGGAATTTGGCTGAGGTGAGTATGTAAAGGCCTCCCATATCCTACCTTCACAACTCTCACCTCACCCCCATCTACATTTCGTTAGCTCAATCCGCTGTCCCGTCATGGTCTGTTCAATTCGTTCTTACGGAGTTGATCGATGAGCTAATACATTACAGCCAAACATCAGAGACCTGCCCAACGAGCTTTTGCTGTGGATTGTGTCGTATTTGGACGGTATTACATTATTTGTCCTCGCAAAATCGTGCAAAGACTTTAATTTTAAACTGCAGCCCAGCATCTGGAAATACAACATCAACTTTCAGAACAGCAATCTGTTGCACTTGGCCGTCAAATACGACAACATTGGTCTTGCGGAGGCTTTGCTCCAGAACAACGCCAACATCAATGCATTTTACCGAGGTAAAACTCCTTTAATGAGGGCGCTGAAATTCTCTTCCGCTGCTGTGCGTGACCTCTTGCTCAATCGTCGAGATCTAGACATCAACATTCAAAATCAAGCGCGGGAGAGCGCCCTGTGGTATGCCATCCACTACGGAACTTTTTCCACCGTCAAGCGCGTTCTAGAACAACCCAACGTCCAGGTGGACATCAAGCACAAACACGGCCGAACGGCGCTCCACCTAGCAGTCTTCGCAGGCCGAATAGGGCTCCTGCATCTGCTACTTTCTAGAGGCAGCGACCCTGATCTACAGGATGATTCGGGACACTCGCCATGGGACTGGGCATGTCGCTTCAATAGACCCGTGATGGAAATGATTTTTTCAAACGATCCGATGGCCGAGGTGTTTCTTGGTACCCAATCATCACAGGAGGCTGAGCTACCTCTTCACCATGCAGTATCCTATGGGTCGGTAGATGTTGTCAAACGGCTTCTCGGACAAAAGGGCCTGAATTTGGACATCCAGAACCGGAATGGCTATACGCCGCTCCATCTCGCCATTCAAAGTGATCGCCTAGAAATGGTCAATTTGCTCCTAAGTCACCCCCGTGCCAACGTGAACTGCAAAGACAAAAATGGCAATACGCCACTTTGGCTGTCGACTTACTCGTCATGCGACGAGATAACCGAAAGGCTGTTGGCCGAGAAAGACATCAACGTCAATTTTGTTGGAGGCCGCGGGAGTTTCGAGACGCTGTCTACATCTCTCCACCACGCCGCGGCCAGGTTGGATACCGTGCTCCTACGACGGCTGCTTGCGGTGCCAGGGATCAGTCTGAATCTCTGTGTTGGAGGCCACTCTCCATTCTCCGTGGCCGCATATCACGGACGCATGAACACGGTTGCTTGTCTGTTAAGTGTGCAGGGCGTGGAGATCAATGGAATGGATGTAATAGATCCGCCCATTTGTCGAGCGGTTGCACATGGCCATCTCGATGTGGTAAGACTCTTGGTGCAGCAAGATGCACGTCTTAACATCAATGAAAGCACGATCGCAACTCACGACACTGCTCTCTGCATTGCCGCCGCTTGTGGTGAATTGGAGATGGTTCAGGCACTACTAAGCCATAATCGGATTGATGTGAACCTCAGGAATCAATGTTCTGAGGATCCATTGATGTTGGCGGTCAGGGGCGGGCATTCCTCGATTGTTAATGCACTTGTGGTCAATCCGAGACTGACATACTTCAGTTTGGCAAAATCCCTGCATCTAACAAGGAACGATTGCATCCAGAGGGCCATTCGAAGCAGAATGGAAGATGCCAACACTCCGCAAAGATTGCTGAAGCGGTCTCCGGGGAGAAGGTTTGGTGGTTCTGGAAGAGCTGGCGACATCTACTTCGGGTAGCTGTCGTGATGCAATACGGGACGGCCAAGTTAATCGACACTTCCCCGCTAGCCACACTGCCCACATTGTCACTGGATCCGTAGTTTTTTGTTTATAATATATTGGGTCAATAAAA